AAGTTAACTACAATGAGGTGAAGAACCCTTGGGACACAAAATCCTACCATAAAGAATATACTTGCAAGCTTCTATATCAAGTAAATATTCCTCTTCTGGGATTGTGATTGCAAGACTTTTGACATAAGGAATAGGTCGTTGGCTTAATGGAATATCACAAACATTTGGTGATTCTCGTTGTTACTAGGATCGCTGATGGATCCTTTGAAAGAAGTTGTGGTTGAATGGTTTTAGGGAAGAGTTCCAAGTTTGATTAGTATCTATTGAAGAGAGATGGAAGAAAAAGAGTTATTAGGTTAACAGTATTTTCAATGTATTAGAAATATGCAATTGGTCATTAAAAAAATCTAACTTGTACTTTAAGTACACCTTTTTCTAAATCACCTAGTACTACTTATATTAGTTCAAGTGATGAAAGAAAAATTTTTAGAAAACCTTATAAGAAAAATGCATATTTGACTAGAAATAATAGAAAGAGTAATTCTCTTAAAGTTGCGTGTCATTATTGTGATGAAAAATATCGTATTAGACCTCTATTTCACATTAGGAAGGGTAAAAGTCCCTAATGGTCTCAAGGCATAGATTCCTAAAGGTCCTAGTAATAAACCTCAAGGCTTCAACCCAAGTTGGGGACTCAAATTATCTTTTTCATCTTCATGCTAGGAATATCTTACTGGTACGAAAAGAATGTGATCTCTATATAATGGTTGTTTGATACATATGACATGAGACGTTTTGATGTTCGTCGATTTGGTTCGCAAGGAGAATGGTCACGTCACGTACGAAGATAATAACTGAGGTAAAATATTAGGAGAAATTTTTGAGAGAAATCTCTTCACAATCATCATAGATAATGTGCTATTAGTTAAAGGACTTAAGCATAATCTCTTGAGCATTATCCAATTCTGCGACAAAGAATTTTCTATAATTTATGACACCCTATGTTGTATGATTCAACATGAGACTGAAAAGAATTAGTATTTAATGGTTCGAATATCACTATTCAAATAGTGTTGCATCAGTGATAGATGAACATAATAGAACTGACACCTTAAAAAATTTAAAGTCATATCAAGTACAAGCTAGCCATAAATAGGATATCAAGCCATCAATATTTTAGATGTCAAACAAGAAATAGATGGACTTCAAAACTAATATATATATATATATATATATATATATATATATATATATATATATATATATATATATATATATATATATATATATATATATATATATATATATATATATATATATATATATATATATATATATATATATATATCATATGCATTGGAAGTAATGTGAGGATGTTATATAGTGAAGTTAATTGGAATATACGTATATAGGGTCGTCTTTGAGGGTGTGCAAGGTGGCCTATAGTACAGGATTTCACTTTTTTTTTATTAAGCTATGGTAAAAAGAGTCTTTATTCACATTTCCACGATTATTATTATAGTCAAATAGGGCCTCTTAAAAGAATTTCACTACTCAATCGAAGGTAACTTTAACTTCTCTCTCTCTCTCTCTCTCTCTCTCTCTCTCTCTCTCTCTCTCTCTCTCTCTCTCTCTCTCTCTCTCTCTCTCTCTCTCTCTCTCTCTCTCTCTCTCTCTCTCTCTCTCTCTCTCTCTCTCTCTCTCTCTCTCTCTCTCTCTCTCTCTCTCTCTCTCTCTCTCTCTCTCTCTCTCTCTCTCTCTCTCTCTCTCTCTCTCTCTCTCTCTCTCTCTCTCTCTCTCTCTCTCTCTCTCTCTCTCTCTAATAACAACAAAATCTATACTGAAAAAACAAAATCTATATTAAATTTGAGCCACAATTTATTTTATTGACAAATCATCATCTAATATGTTGCATCAATTAAAATCTGATGTGATATTTTTTAAAATATAACCATCTAAAACATTTAATTCATAAAATTTATAAATAAATAAAAACTACATTTATATATTCCACAAAAATTATAAATAATATTTTTTAATGAGAGAATAATAATTCATATTTAAATTTTTTAAAACTATAATACAAAAAATCTTATGACAATGGTTAAAATAAAATGGTCATACAATATTTTTAAGTTTAATTATAACTTTCAAATAGACATAGAAATGCTTCAAATTCTTTCTAAAATGTAAATTTTAATTATATCTACAATTACATGAAACAAAATTATATTCAAAATAAAAAATTAGACAATCATTTTTCCGCTACAATATATAATCCTTTACATATAAATTTTCTACAATATATTAATAAATTATATTTAATTAACACTATAAAAATTAAATTAAATTAAATAATTTGTATATGTGTTGAAAATAAATTACATAGTCAAATATACACAAAAACAATATCATTGTACTTGGCTTAAAAGTCATACTCAATATTTTTTATAACTACCGAATATATTAGAATATCTGAGAATTTTATTTTAAATTTTAATGTATATCATAATGATTATTTATATGATGTTTAAATTTTAGAATTTAAATTATCTTCAATCCACAAAATGATAAAGAAACATTCTTAAAGCGGATAAAAAAATGACAAAATTTATGCACTTATTTTACATTTTCAATTTTAATTTTAATATTTTATATTGTATTTACAAGATTCTAACATATTTCTTATTCATATAAAATTGTATTATATTTTTATTTTCTTCATTCTTTTGTTTTAATAACAAAAGAATTATATTGAATAAATAAAATTTATTATAATATATTAAATCTGAGTCGCGATTTATTTTATTGACAAATCATCATCTAATTTATCTTATCAATTAAAATTTAATGTGATATTCTTTAAAATATAGTCATCTAAAACATCTAATATTTATTCAAACGTTCCATTCATAAAATTTATATAAAAAAAATTATATTTATATATTCTACTAAAATTGTAAATAATATTTTTTTTAATGAAAGAATAATGATTCATATTTAACTGTTTTAAAACTATAGTATAAAAAATCTGACGACAATGCTTAAAATAAAATGGTCATATAAAATTTTTAAGTTTAATTATAACTTTTAAATAGAGATACAAATACTTCAAATTATTTTTAAAATGTAATTTTTAACTAAAACTACTTAAACAATAAATCTAAGTACTAATCTCAATCAAGTTTTATATTAATGGCGTGTATGGATAACATAATCAGATTGGTGTTCGGATAGTTTCCCGAATAAGTAACTATCAAAAGTCAAATGTGTACGGATTGTTTAGAATTTGAAAGGACCATTAAGAGTGTAATAAACCACCACCTTAATAAAACTCGTATAATGTGCTTTATTTGAAATAGTTTTCTCTAAATCTTTTTATCATTTTATAATATTAATAAATTATTATTGAATTTTTTAAAATGTTACTTTTATTTAACGGCAAAGCGCGCGACCCGTCTTGTTTAAATCGGTTCCATTTAAATTCTTCTTAAAGTAGAAGATCAACTTAGATGTTTGAGCTTAAAAGTTAAGTTAACTCCACTAATGAAATGGTGGGTTTATGGATCGACCTGCCAATTTTTTTACAATTTAATTTACTACATAATTTAAAAATTTGTTAATCATTACAAAAGACCAAAATTTTTTAACAATGCATAATAAAAGTATAACAAGTCTTAATGCAAATGTCTTATTTTTTAACATAAACAAACAACGTAACTATAATACTAAAAACTTAAAATAAAACACTAAATCACAAAAATTAAAATTTTATTATCATAATGAGAAATAAACTCATATGTGCAAAACGTACCTTATAACTTTAGAACTCAGTTCTAAACCTGACTCTAATGATAACTAGTAGTAGAAAATAGAAAAAATCATATTATCTACGTTTTGTAATAAAGATTTTTCTTCTATAAGTGAAAATAAAGAACAAAGAAGAGACCAATTAGTATCTTCAAAATGAAGTGTTTGTGATTATGTAAAAAATGAATATTAGAGTTTGAAGAAATGACGTTATAATTAGTGTTTTCAAAATGAAATATTTGTGATTATGTGAAAAATAAATATTAAGGTTTGAAGAAATGAGATTATTTTAAAAGTATGTGTACTAAATACTATATTAATATTATTTTAATTTCAAATAAAAATTTAAATTTTTTCTAATAAAAAATCCATAAATAAAACTTGTTATGCCCTCGGTCCCTTTTAAAAATGAATTAAGTAAGACAGATCAACTTAAAATACCAAATCAAAACCTCACTCCGATCCACTAAAAATAATGGGGTCCAACAAGTCCAACCCCTATATTCAACTACCAAATTCATTCTAAGAGTATTGGGTCAATCATGAAAATTGATATATTAAATAATTTTTTAAAATGAAAGTCTAGTTTCTTTTTTATCAATGGAAAGAAAAAATAAACTATTTCACCTTTAAAAATGGTCTTAATTTTAAAATAATTACTTTCTCAATTAAAATGATGACTTTATTGTTGAGTATTTTTAAAGGTTAAAAAATAGTTTATTTTTTCTTTCCATAAGCCAGATTATGTACGACCGTTTTTTATATAATCAACTAAAACTCACAAAGGTAAATACAAGATGCATCCACACAAAAACAAAAAATTAAAACAATTTATTAAATATTTTTACATATAACTTAATTATTCCTTAAAATAAAGTGCTTCAAATGTCTAGTTTGGTTCAATCCCTTTTATAAAATAGTAAACAAATTCAAGGAGGTCGTTAAAATTGAAGAATAGTTCTTTAGTATGGTGTACAAATAAGTTAAGTTTTGCATCAAGCACACAATAGTTTCTACCATTGAATAAATAAATATCATCATTTGATATAAGACTTAATCTAATGGTGAATAAAAAACACAGCTGTGCATAGTGCAATACTACATAACTAGTGCACATTAAATAAACAACAAATTTGATATCAATGTTCTACCTATTTTCCTGCTGGACAAAATAGCCTACACTTTTGTGCATGCAAATAAAAGTCTATTAATAAAACATGCTCTTGAACTCCCTCATTCTTTCAGATGGCTCATAACTTGTAAACTGGTTCAATTCCAAGGAGATAGAAGCATTTTCTCATCACAACAAGTGTGGCTTCACATAACAAGAGTCTACTAGTTTCCTCGGGAGACCCCACAACCTGGAAGGGGAAGAAGTTAAATTAGAATACAAATCTTCTACTAAGAGCCTTAACTCTGCAATCAGTTTGACTGCAGAGAATCCAAATCCATAAATGTTGGCTATGTATTTTGCTAGTATATACCAGACAATTAGAATAAAATTTCTTTGTGAAGATTTCAGCCAAATTATATAGGTATTCACATAACACATTTGGTAGTAAATTCGAGCAAGACTCCACAAAAACCTGAAAGATTAAAAAAATCAAGATTTACAAAGTTGAACACTATTGGTTTAGCAGCAGACAAGGTATAAATCTTGAGAAAAAATGTTTCACTCTACCTCAGTAAATTGTAGTAAGTGAAGAGCCAATGTACGCTCATCTTCATGATCCAACACCAAATTCCCATTCTGTCAAGTCATAAGAAGTTGGTAAACAAGATATGAAGCATATAAAATTTGCACCAGTTGATTTTGAGGTATACTATTTTACAAACATAAACACAAATTCAGTAGTACTGACTCATTACAATCATAATAGACGAGTGTCTAATTGACTCATATCAAGTCAACCATGGTCTACTCTAGTATAAAGCCTAGGTACGACACATGTTTTACAATGTAAAATTAAGCATATGATACAAAAAGCAATTAAATTGTTTTTTTCAACAAAAAAAGGCCCAATCGTCGGTTTTTGAATAACTTACCCTCTTTAGTTCTTCAATGTTTTTACCAGATTTCCTGATGATGGAACATATCCTGGCATGTGCATACTGCAAATAAACAGCCGTATTTCCCTGTTGGACAAAAAGCTTGTAAAGGTGAGACATTTATAACTTTACATTAGTAGGTTTCATGGGAAATGAAGAACATGGGTTTAACATTATTTTAAAGTTTCTATTTTATAGTTCTAACAGCAGTTGGCAATAGAAAGGAGCAAAGCTATAGCTTTGGACTTGATGAATATTTTCAAAGGAGAAGCGGGGTGATTTGGGGGTATCAACAATGGTCATAAAATCTAACTGTTTTTTACACTAACTTAACAAGCATTTGAAAACAGTAAATGCACCTTATCATTAAGCATCTGATCAAAATTGAAAGTGTAGTTTGTTAATCTATTGATCTTCAAGTCAGCATACCTGCAAACACATTAAAAGCATGAACATGACATGACGGCCAACAAAACTACAACGCATTCAGTATTACTTTGGCAGTTGCATAATCAGACAGCGGAGGAAATTGACAGGGTCCATAATGTTGATGTTGGGCTGGGTACATTTAGGCCCACTAATTGGGAAGTTTAGTCTAGGAGAAAGGTTAGTGGGGACAAGTAGTTACTTAGGGAGTGCTATATATGCACATGGGTAGAGTGGTGTTGAGGGGGAGGTAATTGTTTTATTTCAATTAGGAGTTATTACTCTGGTAGGAGCAGTTTGCTCTGGAGGTTACTATTGTATTTCCTTTTCCATTTCTTTCAATTCAATAAAAAAACTATCACATTTGCTATATCAATTTCTTGCGTCTCTGTCATCGGTCTGACCTGCCGGATTCATCAAGAGGAGCCCGTGAATTTGTGATTAATGTCACCAAAAATGCAGGGGAGAATGAATGAATTGGAGAATCGAGTTTTGTCTATGGAAGAAGCGTTTGAGGCTAGAGTGTCGACATTGGAGTAAACGTTTCGCCAAACGCTTGCTGATTTTCATCTCACTTTGGTGGAAGATCTGACATGGGAGAAACTGAAACAAGCATTGATCGATAGGTATGGAGGGAGACAAAGTGATAATCCATTTGAGGAACTAAAGGATTTGCAGCAAGAAGGAAGCGTTGAAGACTACATCAGTGCATTCAAGTACATTTCTTCTCAAGTGAGAAGGTTGCCGGAGGAGCAATACTTAGGGTATTTTCTTGGAGGACTCAAACCAGAGCTCTGATTGAAGGTGAGAACCTTCAAACCCCAGTCATGGTTGCAGGCAATGAAATTAGTGTGTGGTGTGGAAGATGAATTACGTGGGAAGTTGCTGCCTCTAAACAGCAAAGGTTGTTTTGCGAAAGTGGGAAGAGAAATGGATAATGGGCTTAAGTTTAAAACTCAACATGGGTTGAATGATGACTCGGGTCCACCAAAAGAGAAATTTGAATATGATCCACTGTTGGGAACCCAATTGCAAACGGGCCAATCCAATTTGAAACCTAATCAGAATTCTGCAATGCGAACGAGTAGAGAGGATACACAACGAGACAACCATGGTGACCGGAACAGAGGTGTCAAGCATCTACCATATTCTGAATTAATGGATCGCAAGGCAAGAGGACTTTGTTTCCGTTGTGGAGAGCGCTATACTCCTCTCCATCTATGTGCGGAGAAACAATTGAGGTTGGTGATCATGGATGATGATGAAGCTGTCAACGACAACGGTGAAGTTATGGCTATCGAACTGCAAGGAGAAGTGGAAACAACAGTGGACTGCAAGATGATGGCGGTGTGCAATCCCGAACTGGGAGGTAGAATTCGAATTCCTTTTTCTGCTCCATTGCAACTTGTCGGAATGGTGAAAGGGGTGGCTGTGACGGTTATGATTAATACCGGAGCTAGTCATAATTTCATCTCTCCTCAAATGACAGCATTGTTAAGGGAGCATGTGTTAAATTGGGGAATGGTAATCGTACTACTGCTGTGGGAAAAAGTGAAGGAATGGAAATTCAATTTGAGAAGTTTTCTACTAGGATGGAAGCTTATGTCTTAGAATTAGAAGACATTGATGTTGTTTTGGGAGTTAATTGGCTGCAAGGATTAGGTAAGCTGAACTTTGATTGGAAAGAAAGAGCCATTAGCTTTTCTTGGAAAGGTGAAGTGAAGAAATTGCAGGAAACTAAATTTAAGAATGAGCAACTTGAAAGAGAGACACAAATGGACAACGCTATTATCAACCCTCTGTACAACATTATACAGACAAAAGAATATGCAGGAAAAGAACTGAAAGAAAGCCTTATTATGCAGCCACAACTTAACATAGCCACCATGAGTATTGTGCAGCCAAGAAAAGTCACAAGGTGGGAGGGAAGCAAGGAAATTATCAGCTGGGAAAGTGAAAATCAGTTGCTGAATCATTGTCCTTATGATAGCCTTGAGGACAAGGCTCATTTTGTAGGAGAGGATAGTGATAGGGTCCATTTAGGCCCACTAAATGGGAAGTTTAGTCTAGGAGAAAGGTTAGTGGGGACTAGTTACTTAGGGAGTGCTATATAGCGCGTGGGTAGTGGTATTGAGGAGGAGGTAATTGTTTTATTTCAATTAGGAGTTATTACTCCGGTAGGAGCAGTTTGCTCTGGTGGTTACTATTGTATTTCCCTTTCCATTTCATCAATTCAACAAAAAAAACTATCCCATTTGCTATATCAATTTGATGGGTCTCTATCAGAAATGATGTAAAAGTCAAACCAAAACCATATGTTGATTTGTATGAAACATAAATGCGATCACTATAACTGGGAAACGTAATTGTAATACGGGGTTGAGCATTTAGCATGTAAAAGAAAAGCAACAAAGCAGCAATCCATGGGTATGTTTTTATCTGATTAAACTAGTTACCATTTAGAAACTCTAGTAGTACTTTGAAAATATATTAATACATCAGAAAAAATCAGTATATGTCAATAAGATTTAGAACATTAGTGTTGAATGTAAAGCAACACAAACTTTTACAGCTCAGTAACGCAAATTGTAAAATATTACATTCGGTTATAATTTAACACAATGAAGTATGGCTACAACTAAGCAAACTACATACTATTACTGGAAAGCATGTTGGTCATACTTCAAGCATAGGAAAAATATTACTGAGATAGACAACTTACTTAACAGCTCCATATCCTATTGCCTCTGATGTTTTCTCAATCTCTTCCTCTGTCCAATCTTTAGCATTGTCTAAATGAACTCAGATTTAAGAGGTTAACTTCATGTCACTGATATTAGAAATAAAAACTGCAATAGGCAACAGGTATTTACCACGTTCAAGAAGGGAAGCTTTACAGCGCCTTTTAGCTTCATCAAGTAAATCAACCAATCGAACTGTCTCGCTGCTGCGACTCCGGAACCGTTTTCCATCATCACCAAGAACAAGACCAAAACCTACATGAGTGCATTTTGGATATTCATTTTCATCCTTTGGGAGCCACCCCGCACGCCTGTAAGCCTGGTAGAAAAATCAAAAGCATGCCAAACATTTAAACTCGTTTTGTATATTAACGTTGGCAGTAACAATATATCAGTCAATTGGTACCTTAAACAGCATGTCAAAATGTTGCCACTGTCCAACATCTGTAACATATATATTCCATTCAATATTTTCAACATTCAGACGGTACCTACAAGGTTCAAGTGGCTCAGATAACCAACAAAATTTATTTTCAACAGTTGCTCCATTTCCTATTCCATACTCAAATGAAAATGCAGACAAATAGAAAAGCCTTTTCCCATTTCCTATTACCTGATGTAAGAACAATCATTAAAGCCTTTTCCTATTACCTGATGCCATTTACACATAAAAAATACGGTCTCCTATAAAGAAATAAAGTACGATTGGTTGATTTACTTCATCTAACCTACTCTTATATTCTTCGTATTAGTTCTTATGCATGTCTTCTCCTTCAATGCCCAAACTACTAAAGGTAACAATGAGGTATGTAACATTCAAGATAAATCAATTTGACTGATTGATAACAAAATTTGAATATTCATCTGAATCACAAAACAAATTTTGAGAATCTGTCCGTAAACTAAGAGTAAAAACTAACCAAATTGATGTTAGATCAGTTGAAGAGTAGTTGTAGCCACCATCTCTTTTCACAACAATTATTGGTATGTCTACACCTTCAACAAATATCACACGAGCACCTTCACTGTCTTCAACTAGTCCTAATTTCTCCAGTTTCTCCAAAGTTGGAAGGATTAATGGATTATAGAAGCTCTCTGGCTGTGACCAAATACATCGCCGATCAGTACACAGTAAAATAATTTCACTACTATGCAGTAAAATAAAAACATGTAATAACTGCAACATTAACTCAAGATTAATCAATCAATCTATTGCTACAGTGTATGCATTAACAATCCCCTTTAAGCTGCAAAGTTGATAGTTACTGCTACAATTGCTATATACAAGAAATCAAACAAATAGAGTCATAATTATTTCAGTCTAGGTGAACCGAGTAAAATTCAAACAGAAAAAACAATCAAGCTTATGAATGAGTTGGATATTCACTTAATTTCCTAATGTTAATACAAGAAAGCAGCCAAACTTCTGACCACATAAGAACAATGAAAAAGATACAAAATTTATTAATATAAAATATGGTATATCTGCCTAAAACACAGAATCAAAACAACAACACATTCAATAAAAATCACGCCAATGGAAAAATGTCTACAAAATCAAACATATATTAAGGCACACGGTGCATTCTAAGTGACCCTATACTAAATAAAAAGAAAAGAAAGAGATAATAAATTCCTCGGCAGAAACGCGGAAAAACATAAGAAACTGAACCCTTACCATTTCCTCTAAATGAATTCCAAGTCGTTTATAAACCTTGTTAAACTCAGTCCTACTAATATCACAAATTTGCTGCCATGCCGCACGATACTTGGGATCCCCGCTCTGAAATCAAAATTCAGGAAGACAAAAAATGCATAACCAATTCTCCATGATCTCGCATATAAGGGGGAGAGAAAAAAATCGTGAAGTAAAATTTACCTGGAGCTTGACCACATTCTGCTGTGCAGTGAGCTTAAAATCAGGATCACTATCAAACTTCAATTTTGAGGCCTTATAGAATGCCTAAAAATGCACCGACTCCAGTCATTTCAGAATAACCAAAATAAGTTTCCAGCGAAACTAAGTAATAATGAGAACATAAAACACTATTCCAACTAGACCAATAAACATTGACAAGGAAAAGGATGCTAATTTATTGTATCCAAAATCAAGTATAATATAAACATACAGCTAGTTAATTAAAACAATGTCGGACTGAACTAAAAATACTGACAAAAAATTTATGAATAAAAACCTACATAAGGAAACTGGTATAAAATTCGTTTTCATATGTTTTCTGACCTGTAGATCTCCAATAGCTGATTCATTAACATCTTCTGGGTTCGGATATTTCTCAAAGAGGTATGCAATCAGCATCCCAAACTGCAAAATAAATGCATGAAAGTTAAGCCCAATGTTGTCAATCATGGATCACAGAATAGTGTTTAGTTCGAATTCAGCTATACTACAGTGCCAAAATGACACTATTTGACAAAACCTTGTACTAAATAGCACATCGTGAAGCAATAGCAGTTTGCTAAAATTCCGCTATTGCGCCACTATAACCATTGTTTGACAATACTGGTTAAGTCATATGCTCCAATGCTAAAATGAGATTCTTTGTAGTAATAGACTGTTTTATAACTTAAAGCAAATATGCCATAAGCAAGCATTGTTAATTTGGTAGCAGTTGAAATAGTTCAATATATATACTATTTTCTGTGGGCGGATACGGAAGTGTCTAAACTGAAGAAGGCTGCACGACTTCATTTAATTCGGAGGAATGTTATTTATGTTGTTGATCATGAAAGCAGTTAATAAGCCCACTTACATCAGCCATTGGTCCCAAACACAACTAGATGTTAAACGATTATTACAAAGGAATCGCCCAAAGACACAAAGAATAATGGTATATGAACAAAGAAAACCTAGATTTAACAGTATACAATGACAATGATCTGGTCGCAACAAATAGCATAAAAATTCGACCTCGATTTAAATATGCACTATATTCAAACACAGGGCACAAAATAGCATCGTTTAATTTAGAGATTAACTCTACCTGAGTACCCCAATCACCGATATGATTTCGTCGAATAAGAGAATCTGCCTGGCAAAATTCAAGCATCCGAGCCAATGTGTCTCCAATAATAGTTGACCTCAGGTGACCAACATGCATTTCTTTTGCAATGTTTGGAGAGGAAAAGTCAATCAAAACCCTCTTGACAGGAAGTCGAGGTGCCCAAGAATCAATACCATCGGTAAGCATCCTCTGTATGCTCTGCAAAACAATTATTTCTGTTAAGATTATAATCTAAACAACACACTGTACAATGCATGTACTTGTCTAGAAATTTAAGGTACATATTATTTCTAATTTAAAATTAGAAATAGAAATGCAATGAATCACCTGTGCTATCCACTTCTTTGATAAGACAATGTTCACAAACCCAGGACCAGCAACAGAGCATGATTCTACCATTTCTGATGGAGGGAGATTTTTCACAATACCCTACTTAACCAAAAATACATTCATTACCATCACATAATAACAAAACAAAACAAAACAAACTTAATTTCAAAATTAGTAATCAATAAAAAGATTCAAAATAAATCCAATAAACTGAACCATCTCTGATATACCTCTCCAACCGAACGAGGATTCTTGAAATCGGTCTGCTTCCCTTTAACCTTAGCCCACAGACTCATTGCATTATTACTGAACCCAACAAAAAAAACTTTTTGTCTTAGCTTAAAATAGTAAATATACATAATGAAACTAAAACCCTAAATCCATTTCAGATGCATGAACTCGCTCACCATTGATAATCAGCAAATTTTACACCATTTTTCGCAACGCATGCATCAATCATAGGCAAAACATCAGATTCACCGGGAAAAGTTGATTTTAACGATTCCCCAAACAGTTTCGCCAATTGTTTTCGGAGACTTGACGGACAATTCAATTCCTAAATTTCCAATCGCATAAATTAACACCAATAAATGAAGTAAGAATGAAACAACAAAATAAATTAAATTATATGATTAGTTTGAAATTGGGAACTCGGTGAACTTACGATATACATTGCGGATGTATGTGGTTAACTCAAACAAAAGCAGTGGGGGACGACGGCGTTGCAGCGTGGTGGCGGCGATGTGCGCACAGCAGAAGGAATGGGTCTGTGTAAGTGGCGGCAGTGTGAACATAGCGACGATTGAGTCTTATATATACTAGGGTATTTTTGTAATTTCATCTAATGAGAGCTGGGTGGTTCAGTGTAATGTAACATATTAGTTTTGATTTTTTTGTTGAAAAAAATTACTGATTAATAAAAAATTGTCAATTTAATTAGAGAATCAATTTTACATTGTTTAAACAGTTCTACTTACAACTAATTCTAAATCTAACTATTCTCATTTAAATATGATATTACTGTAGTAGTTTATTAATAATTTAGATATATGATAAAAATATAAAATTCACACCTTATTTAACCCTCCAATATCATTTTTTTTTCTTTCTAAAAAAAGTTTGAGTTTGATTTTGATGATTATTTTTTAAATGTAATTTGAAGAACTAAAAGCAGTAGTCAATTTGGTGTATTTACTATTTACCACATTAAGTTTTTCTTTCCATTTTGACATGTTTAATTTTTGAAGATTTGTATGTCATTTCTTATGTTAAATTTGACCTCTTAGAATGTGATCTTCAGTCTCAATCCAATGATGATGAGAAATGATCTTACTGATTGATCAGAATCTGAGATGGGTCAACGACAACGTCTGTGATGTTGGGTGTGAAAGAGGAGGAGAGGGTGTACCTATAAGGCACTCTGATGTTAAAGTAAGAAAATGAGTAAGAGATAGAGCAAGTACAGAAAATGAGTGTTTCGGGGTGAATATGTTTGATATCTGACCTCTCGAAGAATATTTTTGGGGCGACATAGTTGTTTCCCGAAGAATAGATAACTATCAGAACTAGTCATTGGGACAGACGAACGTGCTCATAACTAGTCATTGGGACAGACGAACGTGCTCATAACTAGTCGTTGGTGCAGGTAGGGTTGTAGTTACGGGACAAGCGTCTTGGCTAGTTCTGGATGATAGAACCATGTGTGACGAGCAAAGACTGACAAGGAGAAGTTATGTGACCAAGGGTAAATTGGTCAGCCTCCCCTGTTGGAGGGGCATAAAGGTAAATTCTTCCCCTAACGTTTAGGCAGTTGGGTTGTTTTGGGAGTATAAGTGGATTTGGTCATACATAGCCATTGGGCCAGTTCGGAACAAGAAAGATAATGGAAACAATTCTAAAATGATTTCATCTTCTGAAAGTGTTTCAGATAATCCTTTTGAAAAGAAAGTTACTAAACAAGAAGCTAGGAAAGAAAATAAAAAGAAGGTAAAAGAGGAAAAGAGAGAAGCAAGAAAAGTCAAAGCCAAAGTCCTTAAGGCTGTGAAGAAAAGAAAGAAAAAAATTTCTAAAGCCCCCAAAACCAAGTAAACACTGGTGATTTGTAACAGCTAAAATTTATCAAAAATATTAATTTTGTTTTCTAAACATATATTAGAAGAGGTTTAAATTAATTTAGTTTATAAATTAATTTCTTAGTATTATGGAGTAATAAAGTCACTTGTACAAGTTATTTCTTCCAAGGACTATTCTTTTGTGACTACTATATAAGTAGTTGAAGATTCAATCTGGAATCAACAACAAGGAAATAAAGAAAGAGAGCCAATAAGAAAAGAAGTGTTTCACGCTTCTATTAGAATGAAAGAATAACAAGATCAACAACAGCAGCACCATCAAGTATGTAGAATTTTCATTTTATATTGTAAATTGAACAAAACATTAAGATTTTTTAAACATTGAATATCTTAGAAATCTTAAGAGTTATGATTTTTATTCTGGTTATCTCCATGTACCTCTGATTATAATCAAGTACACCTTATTCTCTATTCGGCTAAACAGGTTGTTTATTAGTTTAGAAAGAAAGTCTCTTGCTATATATTTACGCATCAAAGTCTCTTGTTGTGAGCTTAAGCCAAGTAAGTATCCTGTTATGTGCTTAAACATTGAAGTCTTGATCATATTGTTGATTAAGCAGAAAATTTTGGACTGAAGGTCTAAGCAAGGAAGTCTTGGATTCGTGGAATCTAAGCAGAAAGTCTTATACTCGAAAGTATGAGTAGAAGTCTTGAATTTGTGGAATTTAAGCAGAAAAGTCTTAGACTGAAGGTATGAGCAGGGAAGTCTTCTACTTGAGGGTATGAGCATAAGTCTTGAATCTGTGGGATTTAAGTAGGAAAGTCTTAGGCTGCGAGTCAGAGCAAGAAGTCTTGTACTTACAGTATAAGCAGAAAAGTCTGAGGATTTAAGCAGGAAGTCTAAATCAAGTGTTGATTGAGCAGACAAGTCATAGGCTATAGGTATGAGCAGGAAAGTCTTAGGCTTGAGGAGATAAGCAATTGTAATCATGTTTTGATTATATTGAAAAATCTCTTGTGTTGCAAGGGAATTGTACTATTCTCGGTTTGAGAGGAATCAGAATAAATCTCTATGTGTTCTATTGTTATTTATTTGCTTATGATATTATTCCACTGTAACTAATTATCAGAATCTGAATAAGTAGTTTAGAATTTGAACTCTGCTTAAAAGCAAAGCAAAAATGGAGAACACAATTCAACCTCTCATTCTTGTGTAATTTGAATATGAATAATGTGATGTCTGGTTTCTCTATGTACTTGGTAATTGTTATAACAATTATTCTCTTCATTCAAATAAATAAGTAATAACTCAATTAAAATTAAAATTTTATTATATGAATTAATTATGTTGATTGTTATTGGTTTGGTTCGGGTTTACGGGTAGCAAATTAGAAATTTGTTGTCCGAACCAATTAACATCGATTTTAATTAGTTCGATTCAAATTTTGCCCGAATTGGAAAAATGCCTAACTCAAACCACATTGGTTTGGTTTGGATTTCGGTTTGGTTCGAATTTGCCCGAACCACTGAACACCCCTAGTAAATTACATCTTCTTTTAACTATACGGGATGTAATTACACAACATGTAATTGTATATTGTGAAAAACTAATAGAATAATTAAAAGTATTTTAGGAAATTATTCAAAGTTCAAACACGTTAATAAATTTGATGTATAGGGAAAAAGAACAATGCCAACTAAAATAATCCGCTAAAAGTGAAAGCAAATTCACAACAATCCAAAAGAAGATAAATCAAAGAAATACAATAATTTATTTACCCAGTTTGATCAAATGATATACGCTATGTGTGTGTGTGTATGAGAGAAAGAGAGAGAGAGCAGTTATCTGATTAGTTATACTTCTAAAAGTTGTTACAAAAGATTATAAATGAATTACAAGAAAATATTCACTAAAGTTTCCAATAACAAACCATGTTTTATACCTAAATGTTTCATAATCTCTCAAACTGTATATATACGAATCACACAAGTGCAAGGTGTTCGAAGTTTTTCTCAATCCTCTTAGATATTTTAAAAGGTTTCATAAATTCATAGAACACAATCATATAAAGTCTACATTTACCTCTCTAAGTTTTCCTAGGATTGTCACATGTTCCCTTTGTCTTTCAAACTACATTTTGAAGGTTGTTTCTGATGAGATAATCTTCCTATTTTCCTTATCACGAATCAAATGATAATTAAATGCTTTCATAATTGTTCCCTCACCATTACTACTATTATTATCCATAATAAAAATTTCATATCAAACTTTATCTTCTCTTTCATAATTTCTAAAAGCTTCATCTCCAAGTCTTTTACTCTTCTTTTCCTTACTCTTTGAAAGTAATACATATGTACTTCATGAACTTCTATCCTTCAGGATCCATTTGTAATAACTAATAAACTTTCCAACCTTCTGGATAGTCGTCGATGACACAATCCAAAACTTTACCATCAGGGTAAATTAACTTGATTTGCGCAATAGGCAAAACTTTAACGACCTCCAGATCAAAGTGATTTTCAGGTTTCCTACTACAAACCACCATAGGTGCTTGAAAGTTAATTCTTGTAAATAAATACCTATTGGTCAGGTAAGTTGCATTGGCATCAGCCTTATGCTAGAACCTGTTGGAACATGGCAATATTCCAATAGGAAGATGGATTTGAAAAAGTTTCTTAAGTTCCATATTGTTAGAAAAAATAGGTGTGATTGTGTGTTAGTTGAAAAAATTTCTTAGTCCGACATTACTTAGATTAGATATTTTTGCTAGCTTACTTAGTTATATAAGGAAATCAATTGTTTCATTATGTTCCGTTTGGGAACCAGAAATGGATGTTCCACCTTCACAAAGGAATAAAATATAACGAGAGTTGAACAACTGTTGATTTTCAGTGGTGGCTTCGATCTTCTTTACAGCGACGTATGATGGACTTACACGGTTACACTCCAATGCTCAAGATAGTTAAAGATTCAAAATAAGTAAACTAAAATTGGAGATCAGAGATTGTATACCTCCTCATAATGTGGGAACTGTTTTTATATTATGGGTCGAGTATAATGGGTTTGGTATGGATTGGGCCTCAAAAAATTGGGCCTTTTGGTCGGGCCAGAACAATTTCTCCCAAGGAATTGTCGGGCTATGAAGGAGTCGGGGAAGAATTTAGCATTATTAGTCGGCATTTACGTCTTTAGTTTGGTGCGGGATATGATTAAATCGCTTAGGATCATTTTTTAAAAAGTAATGGAAAACAGGTGCATTTAATACAGTTCCATCATTTAGACGCTTCGTCACTCATTCCTGACATGCGAGATGACATGATCAATTAGGGTGTAGAGCGGTTAATTGAATGCTTATGTGCGCTTGAGTTTGGCATGTTTCCATGAGTGGAATTCTAGTCGTTGATCTTGTGGCCTTTTTTCATAACTCGTCTTGATCATTCTCCTACCATTGCTTATAAATAGAGTGAGTTGAATATTTGAAATTTTTCGCAACCTTTCTGCTTTCAAGCTTTTAGCTATTTTTCTAGAGAAAACCTTTTTGCCCCTTCTTCATGAGAATATCATTATAAATGACTCAAAGTTTCATTTAAAACTTTGACC